TACAAGTGAATTGCACATTTCAAGTATGGAGTCTATTGCACTGTTGACTATTAGCAAAAGTATTGCACAGTGAGGTGAAGAGGCACTACAGCGTAGTTGTTCCCCCCTCCTTTGGTGAGTACAAGTTAAAGGTCAGGTCAGTTAGTGGCTGTGAGTCACTGAGAATTCAATAAATATGTTAACAGATGAGAAATATTGCACCAGAGATAAATGCAGGTTAATAAAAAGTCTCCGCTCGCTGATAAAACATCACTTTTCACAACATTCGATTTAATTTCACTGCCCTGACGCCACTTCTGAAGAGAATTCCAAAGATCTGAGGAATATTTGCATTTGAAGGAATTATTCAGAGATAAGAACCGACACACTTTGTTTTGAACATGGTGTCGCCTCAGCCAGCGAATCAGGACACAAACAGCATGTTCACACAGTTCAAAGTGCTCCACAGACAAAAGACAGGCTGAGCACAACAAACACGAAACAAGCATCAGAAATAAAAATATTACAGAATAAGAGAATAAAAATAAAGAAAGGGACGTCGGCGTCTTTGCACTAAAATCATTTTTCGTGGACGCCCTGGCTCGATGTGCGCCAGGGGTCAGTTTGGGGACCAGCCTTGTTTCCTGTGTATATGCCCCCCTGTCTGTGTGTAATTGACACAATGAGGACTCACATGATCATCAGAGCTGAGTGCTCTTTGTCAAGTTTAAGACTGGACAGAAATAAAAGTTGAGGAATTCGGGCAGCAGCTGCAAACATCACACCACCAACTAACACGACCGGTCGTCTTTAAGTATCTCAAGGACACAAAGACTATCAGACCAGCGAAGCCTCCAGTGGGGGCCATCATTTATATACAGTCTTTGGACTAAATTATACGTATCCTCCCTCTCTGACATCACAGAGAGCCAAGATTAGAAAACACTGTGACCGACTGAGCGTTCAGAGCAGTCTGAATCCTGAGGATTACAGCACACACACTGACCTCATTAACTGAAACTTTGGCCATGTTTAATCTGCACATCCAGCTCCTGAACTGAGATACCTGACAGGTAATAAAGCAAAAGGAGAGCAGGTCCATCTGCTGTGATGTTCTCATGAGCAAACAGAACCACTAGACCTGCTGAAGCCTGTTAGGAGCTTTGTGTCCCTATAGTCTTCCTCTTTCCTCCAATAATACATAACAGATGCCCTCCTGTGTCACATGCTCCTTCACCTGCAGCAGGGCTGAATTATTCACCTGATGGCAGAAAGAGAGCCGGACAGCCTGCAGCCGAGAGCTGCTCTGCCCCGATAAGAAGATTATCAGTGTTCATCAGGAGAACCGTCACTGTGGGTCCTCTGGAGCTCAGCTCTGAGGGGACAGGCTGATAGTGTTTCGTGTCGAAGCCACGACGCTCATCCAAGCACAAACACTCGTTCCTTTTATCTGTAGCCCATCATGCAAAAGGCTTTTTAAATTTTAAAAGTGTTTGCAGAAAAATGCAGCATGTTACCAGTGGAAACCACAAACTGTATATCAAAGATGGATGTACCCCCTGGAACATGACTATGTTTGAAGTCTCTGTGTTAGAGTTTTAGCTGCAGCCATCTTGGTTTTTGAAGCCAGAAGTGACCATGTTTAGGTTAGATGTTGGAGTGCTAAGTTAGCGGTTAGTAAGATGCATCCACATATATCTGTGTAGGTTCTCAGTTATCCAGGTCACGGAAATCTAAGGAGCTTGGAAAGACTTTTTAAAATTCTGTGAAGACATTTTACCTGCTCAGTCATCCAGGTAAGTGAATCACTGTTGGTTCTGTTCATCTGGACGTAGCGAGACGGAAGAAGTCACTTGGATGAGTGACGAAACGTTTGAAAACTCTACATCTAGATGAACAGAATCAAACTTTGGGGATTTACTTACCTGGACGATTGATCATGAATCAAAACGGAATCTTTTGGGGTCTCAAGCAAAATTATCTTCAGTGCTAAAACCAAATGGTGGAGGCGTTTAAAGTCTATGGGAGTTATCCCTTAAGAGGGTCGTTGACCCACTATTAGCATGAGCAAAGGTGTGAAAAAAGGGCGTGGGTCATTATCAACAGAGGTTTCGGGTGAGACATTGTGAGACTTTCCCTCACACCATCATCATTGAGACCGCTGGAAGCACTGTGAGAATCATGTTCTTTGATTTCTCCAGTGCCTTCAACACTATTCTTCCCTCGGTTCTGAAGGACAAGCTGGAGAACTCTGGAGTGGACCATCACCTCACTACCTGGATCCTGGACTACCTCACCGACCGACCACAGTATGTGAGGTCTCAGGGCTGTGTGTCGGACAGGGTCGTCTGCAGTACGGGGGCCCCACAGGGAACGGTTCTGGCTCCGTTCCTCTTCACCATCTACACTGCAGACTTCTCCCACAATTCCACCCAGTGCTTCCTGCAGAAGTTCTCTGATGACTCTGCAATAGTCGGCCTCATCACTGATGGGGACGACAGGGAGTACAGAGGACTGACCCAAGACTTTGTGGACTGGTGCCAGCTGAACTACCTCCAGATCAACGCCAGTAAAACCAAGGAACTGGTGGTAGACTTCCGCAGGCACAAGCATTCCCCACTGCAACCACTGAACATCCAGGGTATGGACATTGAGGCTGTGGACAGCTACAGGTACCTTGGTGTTCATCTGAACAACAGACTGGACTGGACTCATAACTCAGACGCCCTCTACAGGAAAGGGCAGAGCAGGCTGTACCTGCTGCGGAGACTCAGGTCGTTTGGAGTGGAGGGCCCACTCCTGAAGACCTTCTATGACTCTGTTGTGGCTTCTGCTATCTTTTACGGTGTGGTCTGCTGGGGCGGCAGCATCTCTGCTGGGGACAGGAAGAGACTGAACAGGGTGATCCGAAGGGCCAGCTCTGTTCTTGGATGCCCTCTGGACCCAGTGGAGGTGGTGAGTGACAGGAGAATGGCGGCTAAGCTGTCATCCCTGTTGGACAACATCTCCCACCCCATGCAGCAGACTGTGACAGCACTGAGCAGCTCCTTCAGTGGGAGACTGCGGCACCCACGGTGTGGGACGCAGAGATTTCGCAGGTCTTTCCTCCCCACTGCTGTCAGACTCCATAATAAAAACTTTAACTGATCAAACACACACATCCACACATGTGCAATGATACTAAGTGCAATAATCCTTTCTGTCATCGTTGTATTTTTACTCAGTTGTATATAGCATTTGTATTCTATTTTTATCTTATTGTATATTTATTTTATTGTATTCTTCTGTATATAGTATTTTATTTATTCTATTCTGTACAGTTGTGTACTGTATTTATTCTTATTGTATCCTAATTTTTGCCTCATAACTTTTGCACTGTCCACTTCCTGCTGTGACAAAACAAATTTCCCACGTGTGGGACTAATAAAGGTTATCTTATCTTATCTTATCTTATCTTATCTTATCTTATCAACTGATGCAAAACGTGAGTGGAGGTTGAGGCACCTGGGAAAGGTCTCAAAACTGTTTTGTAGGCGGCAGACAGTTGGCGTTGTAACTTACGAATCCATCTTTGAACTGTTCACAGATGGAGATGCCACCATTTGGTTATAGAAATGAAGAAGCTTCTTGGATGGGAAATCAAATGTCCTCACGAAAGCTACAGAAGTCCGGTCAGCTTTTTGACAGTGGATGTTGGAGGAACTACAGTCTGCCACCCTGGGGCCACACCATTTAAAAGTTTCTAGAAACGTCTCTGCAAGCTCATGTGGTGAAAAGGGGTCAGGATATCAATACAAAGATCAGTTTCATGTCCTTCTTTACATTCTCGCTGTCACGTTAGTGTTTAAATAGATTATGCTTCATCATTTATAAATGATTTATTTTTGATCTGCTCCTGAGATGTTAATTTTGGTTTATTGTCCAATAACAACAACAACTAAGATGTTTGTGAAGGCAAAATCAATTTCATTATTAGCTCCTTATTTCAGAAAAACATCAATGTAAGTCACAGTTATAGGATATGATATATTATATGGAGCACATACACATTTAAGACATGTGTATGTGGTCAGAAAAAGAAAAAGTAGTGAAAAACTAGACATACATGAATAACAGACACGTACATATCAGTATTATTACTCATGCCTCTGCGACCCGGCCCCGGATAAAGCGGATGAAGATGGATGGATGAGTCTTATTATTGTTAATAGGCAAATTCAAGTTAGTTGGATTCCAACATGGATTTAATATTCTTTATATGAAAAATTTATTAATAAAAGCAATTAAATTATTTAAATCCTGGACTTTATGTACCAATAACAGAAAAATCTCTTACATCAAAACGTTTGTAAATTAACACATACGTTACAGATCTTTAAAATACCCTGTAATTCTCATGAATATTCTGCATTACCGTGGAAACAAATTACTGAATAAATCGGTTGTGTTCGAAATGTGTTGTTTCATATTACTACAGTATATATTACAGTTTTGATAAATGCAAAAGCAAACGCAAAGTAAACCTTCGTGTATTATGTAACACACTCCTTATAGTAGCCTATTTAATTTTAAATGCATTTTTGATATATCAGGTTTTTGTGGTGTATATGAGAAAAATATAGGCAGTCAGTTAAATAAATTATAAAATTAAATTTTAAAAATGTATTTAATTTATTATGTCTTTCTCGGGTTGACTCTATGAACGGGATATGTTTCAAAAAATAAAACAAAATATTTACAGTGTTTACACGTGTGAAGCTCGTGAGGAAGCAGCCAATCGGCTCTATGAGTTTACGGCAACTGGCCGATCGAACATTACGTCAGCGTAACGAACACAAATGAAAGCGCTTGTGTAACAATACTCGACAAACACTGAGGGCGGCGTGGACGGTTTTCACTCACCCGTATTTAACACTCCACCTACCGACACAGTCCTAACACTTAAAACCAGCGCACCGAAGAAATTTAAACTCGTTTCATCGATAGCCAATCAGCGCCTCTGTAGTACTCTCTCGCCGTGGAGTCGTCCAATCAGTGACGCGTTGCTCTTTGTTGTTGCGATGACATGAAAACATTGTTGTTGCTGCTGCGGAGACTCACGGACAGACGAGCAGGAAGGACGGAAGGTTCGCGGGGCTTCCTTCAGGTCCGGGTTTAGTTATTATCATTTTTTTTATTTTTTAGAAAAAAAGGTGGCAGTTTTTGTCTGTAAAGGAGCCGCGGGAGCAGCCATGTCGGTCAATATGGAAGAACTGAGGCACCAAGTGATGATAAACCAGTTTGTTTTGACGGCTGGCTGCGCCGCGGATCAGGCGAAGCAGCTCCTCCAGGCGGCCCACTGGCAGTTCGAGGTGAGTGGGAGGTTTATTTACACGTTGAGTCCTTTTATTAACCCCCACGCGTGATTTGGTGTAGAAAGAGGTGCCCGTGAACTCGCTGTGGTGATTGTTTTGAGGATTTCCCGTGCTGCCTCGCTGCCATGCGCTCCCGGGGCTAGCGTTAGCCGCCTAGCCGCGCTGAGGACGTGGTGTTCGATGCTTTTTGTTTACATTCTCCGTCGCCTCGCCGTTAAGCTAGCTGCTGTTAGCCGGGCAGAGCGGTAGTGCGCTCGGGTTGGACCAGGGCTGTGTAAGGCTAGAGTAGGGCGGTGTTTATTTTGGCGTGGAGATGCTGATAAGATAAGATGCGCTGTTTTTCATCCGCTCGCATTACTCACAGATCATAAACTACAGGTCAGGCTTGTTTACCGTCAGAGCTCGCGGGGTGATCTGATGGATCAGCCCCTCCCTGCCCGGCTCAAAAACAATCGTTTCATCACGTTTCCTGTGTGAGTTTCTGGAAGCACAGCGAGCGGCTCTCTGCGTGTTTGTGTCCGCTTCACGGAGCGGATAAAGAGGTCAGACCGTGCGTGCTCCCCGCTAAGCGCCCTGACATTGATCCCGGTGCTTCTCGGTTATATATAGACCGATTAAGATGCATTATCCTTCCAGCTGTTCCTATACACGGACCTCCGTGTGCCATTAACACCTATTAGAAGTTGAAGCTGGCTGGTGGAGGTCAGTTTGAGCTGTTTCTTCGCAGTTTTCCCAACGTGGCGCTCGTGTCTCTAACTATGATTCAAAGCCGAGAAGTCCTCCTCGAACAGGGCGAGGCAGGCCAGCGGATAGACGAGCCTTTAGCTGCTCGTTGTGTTTAGTGGGAGTCATAAAATGCGTGGTTGAGCTGCTGGTTCTCCTCTTTTTGGGTCCCATGATATTAATCTGATACGCATGCCGGGGACGTGACTGTTTACTGGGCCTGTGATGGTCAGGCTAATAATTCAATAAAGCGTACAGTGTAAATACACAGGCCAGCTGTAAGTCATTACAGAAGGCTCTGTGCTCACTGGAAAATGAAAAGTAGCCACTATTGATCAGATTTTGTTGACCAACAAACTTGGAAATTTCTATGAAGTGACGGTCAGGCTCCCTCTGCTCCTCACTGGTTTCCTCTTTCATTGCTAAACAGGCCTGAGCTTGTTTCCTTCATGTGCTGCAGCACAGAGCGCTGTGTTTTCGCCAGCTTATGAAGAAAACACACTCGCACTCGTGTTTGAAATCCTCCTCAGCCTCTCTCTAACCACCGATCACAGATTGTGGATCGGATTAAGATTTGGGGATTTTCCTTTTCATGGATCCAAAATGTTAATTGAATGATCTCAGACTGGATCGCTGGAAGAAGCCTGACATTTTTATTTTGGCCCACCTTTAAAAAGCAGAAATGCACAGACTGTGCTGAGCCTGATAAGGCAGCATTGGCAGTCCATCAGCCATTCCTGAAAAGTTGTTTCACTACGGTTCTGTGCTGCGTCACCTCACAGCAATTTGTGAACGTTATTCTTATTCAATGAAATAAATAAAGGATAAAAAAAAGATTTAGGTGTACCCAGGTCCTGTTTTCAACTTCTGCTCCCATCTGTCTGTGTTTGCGTGGATGATTTCTCCTTGACCACCTTCCAGAACATCTGACATTTCATCAAACGCACCCATCCGCAGCATTGACCTGCTGAACAGCTAACGGTCACCTGAGCTTCCACACCTCTGTCTGTTGCAGCCAGGTGCTGCACCGGGAGGGGAGGAGGCGGTGGTGATGTTTGGAGTACTGTCAGGAGTTGGGGTTATGACTCTGATTGGCTGACTTGTTTATTTGGAAAAAGTGCTGTGCACTGCTACTTTGTGTGACTGGAAACTGGGATTAAGGAGTGTTGTTGTGTCTCTGGGGTGAGTCACTAACCTTCACGTTACCTGGACAACATAATACAGCTGAATCCTGGAAAACAACGCTGAGGGAGAAGCACGGGTTAGAGGCGCAACCTTGGTGTGAAGGATGTGGGTGTTCCTCGCGTCTGAGACGCCGGACTTGCAGTCAGACCTCAGTCCCACGCTAACATGTCCCCACAGCAGGCTGTTATTTTGTTTTGGTGTTTGCTGAATGAAGAGAATCGAGCTGCAGTTCCTCTAACGTCCACTGGAGGCTCCAGCAGTTAGTCAGTCCCCATAGACTCCCATGTTAGAACATTCCAGCAGAAATCAACAGGTTTACAGCCTGATACACAAACTCGTTCAGTCTCTGTGGACAATTTCCTCTTTTAGAACAATCGTCCAGGTGTTTACGTTCACGCTGGATGTCCTGCTGACTCACAGGTCAAAAATAATCTGTATTTATCTTGCCTGTGTCACTTGCCTCTCACTGACATCATACAGACCCAAGAGTAGAAGTTTCAAAGTTTACATTTATGGGGAAAGATTGAATGATGTTAAGGAACCGCGTGACCACAGACCTTCAGCCGGCTGTGAAGAGACGCACGGACCTTAAATAATCCTGAGATTTAACCTGTGGACGAGTAACTGGAGTAACGAAGTTGGTGGAAGAAGTTTGTTTGAGGGGAAAGAAAGCTTTTGAAAACAGACCCGAGCGCTGAGTGACGTTGGCAGGTCCAGATGAGTGTTTTGTGTTGATTATCATGTTGATGATGCTGACTGTGTTTGTACAGTGTTGACTCGTTCTGAGCAAACACAGCGACACGTGAGGAGCCCGAAGCAGGAAATGTGTTCATGCTGTTTTTGTAAAATTACTACAATGACAGTGAAAATAGCTGCTGATTAACTTCCTGTCGAACCGCCCGGTTTGCCCCTTTGCTGAAAGAGGAAGTTTCTTTTTCTGTTGGAGCTTCTGTTTTTTTTTTGTCCTTGGTCATGAGGCACTAGAGTGAAAGTAAAAGCCGTCACGCCGCCGTGAACCGTTTTCCCTCTGCAAGGACTTTTAAAGACACTCGCAGGTTACGGAGTTTCCTGCAACAAACCAGAAAATTAAACGAGACGAGACAAAGAGCGGCTCTTCGCACAATAGCGGCCGAGCACTTTCGCTCTTTGAGATGGGTGTCACGTTGTACGGCAGACATTCCTGCGCCACCGCTGTTGTTAAACAACCACGGCTGGGGGGAGGGAAGGGCACGGCATTCATTCAAGTGTTGGGAACAAAAAGAAGAAACTGAGCTGCAAAACAAGCTCACGCTCCCTGTTCAGACCACAGGAGCTCTGCAGTCCCACAGTTATTGCAGACATTGAACTCAGCAAACACCACATTCAGTGATTTTTATCTGTTATGCACGGTTAAATATTGTGCTGGTTTTAATGTTCCTGCACGTCGAAGATGCTGGGAACAGTGGAGCTCCGAGGCGTTCGAGTCCTTAGTGCAGAAACTGGCTGTCTCAGTGTTGGGAATGGAAAGTCTAAAGTGGTCCCCTCCTGGTCAGTTACCACCTGTGGGATGACTCCACCCCCCGCAACATTGCTGGGGGGGGGTCCCTTGGGTCCTCGGGAAATGTTTTGTAGCGTTGGGTCGGCCCGGTGTTTCTCCTTCTGCAATCACAGCGTGCGTTTGAGTTCACAACAAAGACGATGCGTACGTGAAGCCAACTCGTTTCCCTGTTTGCACAATCAGGAGACGCACTGTTTACATTTCAGGCTGCTGTGAGGGAAAGCTGGAAAAGTTCGACGAGCGCTCGTGTTTTGTCTTCTGAAAACTTGCAGACCTTCAGAGATACGAGCGTTTGAGTCAGTCCAACCCAGCTCAATGTCACACAGGACGAAACAGGAGACGCTGATGAGACTCTTTGTTTCTTACTTCACTGCCAGTGTTTCTGCGCCACAGCTGCTTAAATCCGAACACTTTCAGCGTGTTTCTGCAAACATGAAACTAAACGTCTTTTTGGGTTTTGTGAGGTTGTCTCTGGCGGTTAATGCCCCGAGACAGGAAATGAAAAATGATGTGACACATGAGTCCATGATCATAAATAAGTCGGTCCTTTTATAACTGATCAGTTTTCCTGTTTCAGTGATTATTGGGTATGTTATCAAAGCTTCCAGGCGCGATGACCTCGGCTGCTTCAGGTGGTTTGGCTGTGAAATAAGCTCGTTTTCGTTCTGTGGCTTTAAAAATGTTGTCAGCTCTGCAGGAAGCTGCAGATCATTTCTTCAGAAACAGAAAGTCTGGTTTTTGTTCGCCTCCCTCGAGGTTTCACTCCCAGCAGCTCTGCAGAAAAAAGAGTCTCTGCGGTCTGATGACTCAGTTTCAGGTCCCAGCGTGGAGATGATACGTTTAGCCCTTTGTGTTAACGATGGTGAAAGGTGGGGGTATGGGGCGGCCCTTCCTGTCTGAGGTTTTGGGGGAAATGAATGCGTCCTGCTTGCTCTCCATGTGGAAACGTAACTCGTCCTTCTGCCTCTCTTTCTGTCTGCAGACGGCCTTGAGCTCCTTCTTCCAGGAGGCCAACGTCCCCGGGCATCACCACCAGATGGTAAGTGCGTGAAAACGTTACTAAACACAACGATTTTATGAAAGTCTTCTGGGGTTGTGGTTGGATGGTTCAGCGTGGCGATCCACAGGCTGCCGTTCAGACATCAGGAAGCAGTTCGATGGTCCACGCCATTCCTTCTTCCTGCATCTGCCGGTTGGTTTAGTCACAGAGCAGCAGAAGGTGGAGGGCGAGCTGCTCGCACAGACGCTGTGTTTGTGTTTGAGCGCTGTTAGGACGACGGGCGTGTGCAGCCATAATAACTGTTTAATCTCCAACTGCAGCCCTGTAATTTAATAATTACCGGCTTATAAAGAGAAAATGTGCAGACCTGCGTCACAGTGAGCAGACAGGTGTGTGTGTGTGTGTGTGTGTGTGTGTGTGTGTGTGTGTGTGTGTGTGTGTGTGTGTGTGTGTGTGTGTGTGTTCTCATTAAGTCTCCTGCCTCTGCCTCCCTGGATCTGATCCTCGGTCGTGCTGGGACGCCTGCAGCAGGCGTGTTTTGTTTTCATTCCTCCTCCTCTGGTTTGTGTGCATGCGTTGGGAGGGGGGGGGCATGTTGAGGCAGCAGGCTGCTTTGTTGTTATTTTGGGTGACATCATCTTCATCATCTGCACTGAAGCAACTCAGCGCTCTGAGCGAGCATCAGCTGCCCAACTTCCTCCCGGGGTGCACAGGAGGAGGAGGGAGCAGCGATGTGGAGCCTTTATTGTGAAAGTACTGAGTTTGTTTGAGGCTCAGAAAATGGCAGAGTTTGGACTTTTTGCCGTAAGAACAAATATTGACAAATTTAGTGGAATATTTTAGAAAAATGTAAAAAATATTTTGAGTACAAACAGTTTTTCGGAGTATGGGGGAAATGGGAATCCACATGTGTGTCTGTAAACTGATCAACTATTAAAGATAACACTGAAGTCTTGAGGAAATAAAAAGCTCCGCAGGAACCAGCCGAGCGGCTTCTTCTCCTTCTTAGACGCCTCGGAGATTAATGAGAGAGCGTGTGTGCACGTGCAGCTGCGCCTCAGAGAGTTGATAAGAACCAATCGATCCTGTTCCTGAGGATCATTTTTGACTCGTAAGTAAAAGTTTGATTATTTGGCTCTGTGTGAGGTCACGTGGCGCCCGGCAAGCTGGTGTTTTTGTTCTTGGTCCAACGTCATCGGTGCGATGCATCAACACGCAGCACACCACAGAACCGGTTCTCCGAGGCTCACGGGAAATCTACAGAGGCGAGGCCGTTTGTAACGAACACGCCGATCCGGCCTGAACAGCAGCAGGAAAATGCCCGCAGGTTTACCGCCTCTGCACGCCGTGCACCTCGGCGCTGAAACAACACACCCGGCTGTTTACGTCGGGAAGGAGGCCTTTCGCCGGCTCAACGTGAACATGTGAGAAGGCGGAGCTCCAACAGGCAGCGTAAAAGTCACTGTGGTCATCCCGCTGTTGTTTTGGTGACACAGATCTGTGGCTGCAGGCGCAACTCTGTTTGTTTCGGTGTGCTCCAAATTGACGTCGCTAAACATCACCTCATGAGATGGGCGTGTCGCACGCCGTAAAAGGAAGGGGAAGGGCTAAAAGGTCTGCACCTGAGACTCGGGTTCAACCATCTGTACCACATATGGAGGGTAATTAATGTCAGTTTTATCTCGGGCGCTGGTGGAGACTCCAGGAAGTTCCTGCGACCTGCCAACAGACGGTTATTGCCCCCCCAGTAAACCATAAACACAAAGAATATATAAATATGGGTGCAGCCAGCGTGTCGTGGTGGCTCGGGTTTTGGTTCCACCGTGTTGGTTTATTGTCTGCAGACTCGCAGCTGCTGACCTCATTAAAACGAAGCTGTTTAATAATCTTATTTTCATTGAGCAGCATGTGTGGCTCCGCCTCCAGCAGCCTTAGAAAGTCTGGGTCGTCCAATGGCCCTCCTGACTTTCCTTCGCTGTGTGTGTGTGCGTGTGTGTGTGTG